TATTGGAAGAATGTTGGGGAGAGACTCCCAAGGGTAGAAAGTTCTAGAGCTGTCAGAAACTCATTGTTCTTGACCTGAATGCCACCAAACCGCCTCCCCAGGGGCCTGAATATTGCCTGTGGAGGAGACCTTTCTGCGGCAAGCCACCTCGGCTCTGCTCCAGTGTGGCTCGACATACCTCCGGGAAGGCCAGCTTTGCAAACCCAAGCCCTGCTTCTGCCTCTTCCTCTTCCGAGCAGCCTAAGCTCTCCCCCAACCCTGCCCATGTCCCCTTGAGAATGAACATTAGAAACAAGATGGGGAGACCAGTCTCCCTCCAGTCTACATGACAAAGATCTGGATTCAAATCTCTTATCTTTGGGCCCAGTGAGTAGCATTGGAGCTGCTGGTGGGAAGGGGCTGGTACAGTGCTCGGTGGTCTCCTCTCCACCTCACTCCGTTCTCTTTCTCTCCCTCCCTGACCCTCTTCCCTCACCCGCCCCATCCTTTCTCCTGTCCCTCACCCCCTACCCAACTCTCACCCCTATGCCTCAGCCCTCACCCCCTCTCTCTTTCCTGTCCTTTGTCCCCCCCCCCATCCCCTGCCCCTCACTTTCCCACCCCCATGCCATGTCCAGCCCTCAGGCCCTTTATTCTTCACCCCATCTTCTCTCCTCCACCTCTAACACACACACACACACACACACACACACAGGACTCTCCTCTTCCTGGGGTCCCGAGAAAGTGCAGTCTTTCACCCTTTTCCCCAAAGGATTGTTCTGTTGTCAAGGAAGGAAATGTCCTAGCTTATCAGACATCCGGCTTCAGCCAAAGCACTGGCTGCCCTGGGAATTCACCCTGAACAGAGAGCCTGGAAGGTTATGCTGAGGTCACCTGGGCCATCCCCCAGAGGCCCTAGAAGAGGGCTGTGGGGGTGTGCGGCTCCGGCTGGGACAGGCTCCAGGGACCCACCTGGAAGTTCACCAGAGAGGAAACCAGGCAGCTCCCTGATACCAAGAGCAGGGCACAGGGATCAGTCCCTCCCTGCTCAGTACTGTCTCACCCTGAGCGGTGCAACCGTTTGTCTGCCTGCTCAGGTGCACACTTGTAACTTGCTAAATAATGACCTACCGTGTACTCCAAGGAGCTCAGGTAGCATAGTGGTTACGAATCGGGCTGCGAACCGCAAGGTCAGCAGTTCGAAACTACCAGCAGTTCCACGGGAGAAAGATGAGGCAGTCTGCTCCCGTAAAGATTTACAGCCTCAGAAACCCTGTACAGGGTCACTATGAGTCAGAACTGATTCATGGCACATAACCACCAACCACCACCACCATGTACTCCAACCAAACAGTTTAAAATCATGAGAGGTGTGCACCAGGACTGTGTTCTTGCACCAGACTTACTCAATCTGTATGCTGAGCAAATAATGCAAGAAGCTGGATTATATGAAGACAAGCGTGGCATCAGGACTGCAGGAAGACTTATTAACAACCTGCGATATTTACATGATACAGCCATCCTTGCTGAAAACCAAGAGGACTTAAAATACTTGCTGAAGACGATCAAAGACCACAGCCTTCAGTATGAGTTTCACTTCAATGTAGAGACAACAAAAAATCGTCACCACTGGACCAATGAATAATACCATGATAAATGGAGAAAAGACTGAAGCTGTCAAAGACTTCATTTTGCTGGGATCTACCATCAACACTCATGGAAGCAGCAATCAAGAAATTAGACGACGTATTACATTAGGCAGATCTGTTCTAAAGACCTCTTTAATGTGTTTAAGAGCAAAAAATGTCAGTTTGAGGACTAAGGTGCACCTGACCCAAGCCATGGTATTTTCAATAGCTTCATATACATGTGAAGGTTGGACGATGGATAAGGACCATAGAATTGATGCATTTCAGTTATGGTATTGTTGTTGTTGTTATGCGCCGTGGAGTCGGTTCCGACTCATAGTGACCCTGCACAGGGTTTCCGAGGCTATAAATCTTTACGGGAGCAGACTGCCTCATCTTTCTCCCGTGGAACAGCTAGTAGTTTCGAACTGCTGACCTTGTGGTTCGCAGCCCGATTCGTAACCACTACGCTACCAGAGGTATTAGGGAAGAATATTAAAATTACCATGGACTCCCCTCTAAAATTGAAACTCAAAGGGAACAAATGAGCAGGCATGTAAGCTTTCTGGAGACCACGCTGGTCGCCTGGAGAGTGGAAGAGAGGGAAAGGCAGCAATGAAGATATGGGCCGAGTTCAACCATGTTCCATACACTCTCATTAACCTGGAGATGAGAGAGAGAAGAGGAAGGGCTGGTTGGTCTGAAGTGTGGTGAGACCTGGGGACTTCTGAGCCCAAGGATAAGGACCTAGCCACGGAGGGCTACAGCTGAGAGTGACGTGTCCAGCTGATATGAAGTGAGGGGAGATGCACAAGAACGCCCACACTTGCTGATAGTACCCATTTGACCTAGCTTTGATGACTTGATAATCAGAACTCGACTACCGGAAGATTTAAAAAAAAAATTTTTTTTTAAATCAAGGAAACAAGTGTAAATTGTTACAATTTGATGAACTTGACCTATACTTATGGATGTAGTAGCTCAAAATAGCAACTGAGAGGGAAAGAGTCTCCACATCAAGCATCAATGCTATCACCTCTGTATACAGGATTGATGGAGACAGACAACTTAGACACTAGCTACCTAAAATGGGGGGCTGTAAAGGTACAAAGTGATTGGCTTCAAGTTTTCAAGAGGGAATTTAGTCTCAGAGTGTGAGGGTGAAGGAGGAAGCCCCACTGAATAGTTTGTATCTTGTCTAGATGGGTCTGGAGAAGAGAGACAGGGATCAGATTCTTATAATTCAGTAGTGAGTAACTGTTATCATGACTAATTGTGATTGTCACAACCGCAAAGGTAGAAGCTTTGGAACATACAGGGGGGAGTAGTTAATCTTACAGTCCCGAAACAGAGGACCCTAGGACCATCAAGGCAGAAGAGCCTGAGCTCAATGTGGAAGCCTATGCGGAGAAGCAGTGACACCAGAGATGGAGACAGAGATGACGACACTGAGAAACAGCAGCTGAGGACTCTAGAGTCATGGAAAGAGAAAGGCTGTGTTGTGTGCTGGCAGCAGCCAGATGCTGGTGGCCAGGAGGAAGGCTCGGAAAATGTGTCCTTTGATTCTATATTCCTGAGTGTTTTTGTGTACATCCCCCAGTACTAGCCCCCCAAAAAAATCCCCAGAGAGTATAGAAGCAAATATTGTTGAATGATGATGCACGGAGGGGATTGTAATCATTGCAATGAAACAATGAATGTAAAAGTGATGTTCCCCCATGTAAAATATCACTCAATTTACAATAAAAACTTGAAAAAAAAAAAAACGGAGCATGGACTGCTAGAAGAGCAAACAAATCTGTGTTGTCAGAAGTGTGGCAAGAACGTTCCTTAGCAGTCAGGATGGGGAGACTTCGTTATCTCAAACTTGGGGCATGTAACCTGGAGGGACCAGTCCGTAGAGAAGGACATCATGCTTGGTAAAGTGGACGGTCAGCAGAAGAGAGAACCCCAATGAACTGGATTGGCAGAGTGGCAGCAGCAAAGGGCTGAAGTTTAACAATGATTATGGGGTTTGGCAGAGGGCTGAGCAGTTTTTTCGTTCTGTTGTGTGTAAGATCGCTACTGAGTTGGAACCAAATAGTCAACAGCCACCACCATGTCGCGGGCACTTGCTCGGGGCACACACTTGCTATACTCTGTGCTGAATATCATATACTGCGGACTGTCAGAACAAACCACTGTGTGTTAGAAGAATTACAGCCACAATGCTCCTTAGAAGCCAGGATGGAAAGACTGTGACGTACTCTGGACACGTTGTCATGTCAGGAGGGACCCACCCCTGGAGAAGGACATCATACTTGGTAGAGGGTTAGTATAAAATAGGAAGACACTCTGTTAGATGAATTTACACTGTGGCTAAACCGATGGGCTTAAACGTAGCAAGGAGTGTGCGGACAGTGCAGAAGCAGATAGTTCTTCACTCTGTGGTAATAAGGTTGCTGTGAGTCAGAACTGATTTCATGACAATGTGTCATTTCTCCACCCAACAACTGTATAAGGTTTTCCTCTTATTAGAGCCACTTTTCAGATAAGAACACTGAGGCTCCAAGGGCCCTGTGAAAAATGCCAGCAATTGGTATGGACTTTAGACCATAGGCAAGGTACAACCTCTTCAAGTCAGGGTGCGAGGACAACCCCCCTGAGGGTGGGAAAGCCACTGGACCATGACCACAGGTAAGTAGAAATGTAGAGGGGATAGGGTGTGAGTCAAGGAGTGAGCTGAGAGTCGCTGGAACCAGACGGAGGCTGAGGGACCTGAGGGACATCATGGGGTCCTGAGAGACAAGAGGGAGGCTGAGGGGAGGTCCAGGTCATCAAGCCTAAATACTTAGCAGGAGTGCTGCTGTGTGAGAGAACCCATCCCCTTGGTCCCAGCAAACGAAAACAAGCTCGTCAGACTTCCAGTGGTGGCACCCTAGAGAGTGTTGGCTCCAGCATCCCCTCCCCTAGAAGGCCTTGGGAAGCCTCCACTAACAATATGATCATTTTTCATAACCCTAGAGCTACTTTCCAGGGGAATGAGTCACATCTTGTCCACAGGGGGAAAGGTACAGGGAAAGATGATAGCCGACCAAGGAGACTCGCCCGGCGGGTCAGGACATGAGGGGTTGAAGGAGGGGACATGGAGGGGACGCGGCAGGGACATCAGGTCACTGAGACACTTGACACCACGCTGGACTTCAAAGAAGAACATATGCGATGTTCAGAAACACTCACACACTGTATTCAGCCACAGTCTCCACTGAGACAACACCGCAGGAATCAGGCCAGCTTGCCCCCTCTCTCTTCCCTGTACTGACTCAGGTGGGGGTGGGGGTCAACCCCCATTGCACACCCTTTTTTCCTCGGGGGGCAGAGCTACTTCTAGGACTGCACAGAGCCCCTCCCTACCTGGAACCGGTGTACCAGCTCCAGAGACTGGCTGTCGTTCTGATCCGCTTCAAGGATGACATCGGTCAGCTTGTGGATAATGACATCCAGGGGGCCCTGCTCCTCAATTGGCCGGCTGAGGTTCAACTGCGAGGGGGGACACAGAGAAAAAGAATAGTGTCAGCACTGGACCCCACAACGCCCATCCTATCCCCTGCATCCCCTCCACCTGTCATGGGAAATGCAGACCAGATCAACAGACAAATCCCACACGTGCCTCCCAACTCTTCCTGGTTCTATGCCCTAAGTCACAGGTTCCCAGGATGCATGCAGACAACACACAAATGGAATGAAGGAAGACAGAAGTTTCTCCAGGTAACAAAGGTGTCACCTATGAAAAGCATTTTATAGAGAAGCATTCCTTGAACACGTCCCCAACCATCTAGATCTTTCAGGAACGGGAACTAGGGATCAGAGCAATGAAGTAGCACAAGAAAACCACCCAGCTTGATTGGACTTAGATCCACCTGATTCCAAAGTAGAGCCTCATTCCACAAAACCACATTTTAAATTGTGTGATCTTCCCAAATCTCAGCAGCAATGTGGGGAGAAACCAGCAGCTTACAGAACACATTAAAATCGGGACTCGTCCCAACCACGTGAAGGAGACAGGTTGCTCTGTTGGATCTTCTTGCTCCACCTGGGGATGGGGAATGTGTTTTATCTTTTCAAGAGCTTAGGGGGTTTGGACATCCCAGAGGAACCAGCGCCACCAGCTGACAGACAACCAGCATCACCTGAACCCAAGGCAGAAACACCTGCCAGCAACTGGGGCAGCCTACCAACCAACTTCCCAACCCACCAGGTCTGCCCCAGCACGAGGCCACCGCCACCTACAGGGCCAGTCTCTCAAGGCAGTGGGACCAGCATGTACTCTGGCTAACCCCCAGATGGCCTCAGCAAGGACCAGTGCAGGCCACAAGCCCCACCCCCAGCCCCAAGTGGGGCTCCCCGCCAAGATTCAGAGCTGACTTTTCAATGTGGTTAGTAAAGAAATCACAATGACAGTGCCAAGAATCCACTCTAAGTGCTAAAAGCTCACTCACATTTATTCCATTTCCTAACCACTTTATGAGAGATGTATTTGCGCAACCAAAGCAAGCCGAGAACAGAGACCTTACAAGTCTGCCTGAGCTCTCCCAGCATGCAAGCAGTGAGCTCTGTTATAGATGCAGACTGGAAGCTGTGCTTGGCATTCTGGCTTGAGCCCCCATTCCAACCCTCTCCATTCTCTGGGTGCTCGCTCTGTGCCCTGAAGTTATCCCTCCAGAGATTCTCCACCTCTTGTGAGTTTCCCTTGGACCTGTTCACACTTGTACTTGTTCTTTATGAAACTCTCTTCCGCTTACACCTCTGGGACATGTCAGTGCTTTCCTGTGGGGCCACTGGTGCCCTCAACTCTTCATTCTCATGCTTGCCAGGAAAGATGTTAAGGAATTCTCTTCTACCAAATACAATCTCCTGGTCTTCACAATAAGAACATATTGAGGAGTACTCCTTGTGTTCCACGTGCACCAAACAGAATAAGAAATGGGACCAGTTGAAAGTTGGTGGTCTCTCTTGGAGTTAGGAATGTGGAGAGACCTCGTGGATGAGGAGGAGAAGGGTCTTTAGAGAGCCAGGCACTTGCTCGTCCTCCCAGCCAGCTGAAGAGTCAGTGATTTTCCCTATCTTCACGGACCAGAACTCCAAGAGACACGGCCAGCTAAGGCCAAGGTGAGAGTAGCCCGGCCAGGTCTGGACTGAGGCCGTCTGCAGAGCAGTTCTTCTATCCATAGTCTTCGTAGCTCCCACCAAAGTGTTTTGTTTTTCCCCTGGTGGGGGTAGAAAAGAAAAAGTGGGAGAAGATGCTGACAGGATTATAGGATCCTGCTCTGAGTGGTTGTTCACAGGGTTGACTGGGATTGTAAAAACTTGGAACTCTAACACGAGTATAAAATGGGTCATCTCAGACACAGAAATGGGGATCTCACTACCATCAGGAGTGGGGTGTGGCCTCTGGATTCTCAGATCCCTGCACATGGAACCTCCTCAGCCCAGGGAGGAGAGGCAGAGGAGGAGCAGCTGCAACGGGACCCACAGCCAGAGCACGGGACAGAGCGTTGGGCTTCGCAGCCCATGGAGCACGGTGACTGTCTCTGAGTGGAGTGGGGTGCCTCCGGACACTTCAGTGGGGCTCACCCACGGAGCTAGAGCTGAGCGCCTTTGGGCATTTGTTAGCAGCCCTGGAGTACGCTGTGCTGTAAGGAGCTCTGGTAGCGTAGTGGGTACGAGTTGGGCTGCTAATCTCAAGGCCAGAAGTTGGAAACTCCCAGCTGTTCTGTGGGAGAAAGATAAGGCTTTCTGCTCCCGTAAAGATCTACAGCCTCAGAAACCCTATGTAGGCTTACTCTAAGTCAGAACCAACTCCGCCAAAAAAGTGGTACTGCAACGTCGGTGGTTCAAGCTCACCAGCTGCTCCTTGGAAACCCTAAGCAGGGTCGCTATGGATCAGAAATGACTCGATGGCACATAACGTTAACAACAACAACAAAAAGGGCTTTCTAACACTGCCAGCGCAAGGCAAAGTCCACAGAGCCCAAGCCGAGGCCCAGAGAGCGCCCAGCCTGTGGGTACGACAGAGGAGACATTGTCATGACTGGAAGAACTGTGCCCTGAACATTCTGACCCTGAATTATAACCTGATGACTTCCCTAATAAACCCCACTCTCTGTGAGGGAGTGGGGTCTGAGATCTACGTGGCCACAGGACCCAGCTGAGTGCTGGAGAGGAAAGGCTGGTACCCTGTCTACCCTGCCCAATGCCCAGGGCTCCCCATCAGTCAAGCCGCCAACATCCTGCACCTGGGCATGGCCCAGACCATCATCCCTGGGCCTCAGTTTCCCCTTGCATAAAAGCAGGGTACTATAGAGGCTGTCAAGGAGCTCTGGTAGTGTAGTGATTACGAATCGGGCTGTGAACCTTAAGGTCAGCAGTTCAAAACTAGCAGCCACTCCGCAAGAGAAAGACAAGGCTTTCTGCTCCCATAAAGATTTACAGCCTCGGAAACCCTGTACAGGGTCGTTATGAGTCGGAACCGACTCCACGATACTTAACAACAACAACATAGAGACCGTCTGCTTCTACAGTGGATTCCACTTTAAAACCAGCCCCTTTTCGGTAAAACAGAATCTAAGGAAGAATGAGAAGCTGGTGGAGAGTGGAAACTTGGGCAACAAACAGCCAACCCTCCAACGGCACATGGGTACAACCCACTTCTCCTGTAACCAGAACTCTAGGGTGATTGGAACCATAAATTTATTGTTGTTATGTGCCGTCGAGTGGATCTGACCCACAGCAACCCTGTATAGGATTTCCAAGGAGCGACTTGTGAGCTTGAACCACCAACTTTGTGGTTCAAACTGACTTTGCAGTCCAGCGCATTAGCCCACAGCACCACACCAGACCCGGGGACCATAAATGGGAGTCCAGTATCAGATTGAGACAGCCACAGACAAGGAGAATGAGGTCAGGCAGTAGAGCCAGGCAACATGCCCCGGGGCGGTCAGAACGGGCACATCCCCAAAGAGAAGCTTCCAGCTCTGCTGTTAGCATGGGGACAGGGCAGGCACCAGCCCAAAAGAAATCCCTTAAGTCTGGGGGACTGGGGTGGTCAGAGGAGGGTTCCCAAGGCTCTGTCCTCACAACCATGGCTGTTTGGAAAATAAGCTCTCCGTGTTCCCGGTTGCTCTGCTGAAGGTAAACAGTTGAGTTCTGGAAGTCGGCCATCTTCCTTTGTATATTTTCCAAGTAAAACCCTTTCACGAGAATAGCAGCTTGGGACACACACTGGCCTGGTCTCCGGGACAGCCGGTTCTCCCCGGCGGAGGCTTTGCCTGAGTGGAGGTTTCGGAGGCTCGAATTGCTCCATCAGCATCCACTTTGGCAGCCAGACACTGCCAAGATTGCCTCAAAACCTGCTCTGTGCCCTCAGTTTTCCCATTCACAACACAAGGGTGTTATAAGCTAGTGGAAGTGATTCGACAGATGTTGTGAGTGGTGGCTATTCAGCAGAACAATCTGCTGCTTAATTTAACCAGAGCTTTGAACCAGTTCAAACTGATTCAGTCAGGATCGACACAGCAAATTCGGAACAGACTCAAATTTGCAAAACGTGGATGTACCAGAAGGATAATCATAGCAGGAAAAATTAGGGATTGCAGCCCTGAGTGGGAGATTCTGAAGAGGCATACTGAGCTCTCGCAGAAGCCTGCTGTGGGAGGTTGGCTCATGGCCAGGACTGTGGCGCGCAGAATGCATTCAAAGCTGAGCAGCCTGCCACCATCTCTGAGCGGGACACCGCTGTTTCTAACTCTGCCACTGAAGAAATCTGGTTGCTAGGCAAGGCACATCCTGCTCTTGTTTCTAAGAAGGAGATTATGTTTCCAGCACAGTGTCCACTTGTAATTTTTCCCATTTTAGTTACTTTTTTTTTTTTTTTAACTTTTTACTGTGAATTGAGATAAGGTAACAGAACAGATCACCAGTTTTACATTCAGCAAATCATCTACTTTGTTTCATTATATGGTTGCAATCCCTTCCCTGCACCAGCAGTTATCTCTCTTCACTTTAACCACTGCATTTCTTCCTGCTCTGGTTATCTGCTGTTCAGTACACCATTCCCACATTTTACAAATTGGGGCCCTTTCTAGTTTCACTTGAGCGATCATGGCTTAACAAGGAAGAAACACTTCAAAGTCCTGACATTTCCTGGGCACCTACTGTGTGCCAGGACAATTGGGGGTAAGGGTGTGGACAGAATTTTCTGTCAGCCTTATTATGATCCTCTGGGCTCACTCTGGAAGCAGACCTAGGTGACTGGACCCACATGCTTCTTCACCTACTCCTAGAACGCCCTCCCACTCTTCACCACCCGCCTGTCCAGAGTGACCTCTTAGGCACTTCCCCACTCCCAGCTCACAAGCCCGCTCCTTTCTCAGACGTCTCAGTGCACTCACGCAAACAGATTGTATCAATGGCCCCTCGCCTAACCCCAGAGCCCTTTGCACACCCTCCAGGATTGTGCGACAACTTTCTATTGTACACCT